GATGATTCCCTGCTGACTGCTGGTCCTCAGCATCCATGGTGGCCAACAGACAGAGCAGTACCCCCACCCAAAGCTGAAGCAGTCTTCACAGAAGCATTGAAAAGAAAGAGTTTTGCCCTATGCCTGAAACCCATGCTTCAAATTGCAACCCAGCTCTCTGCAGTAGAGGGAATCAGACCATCTCCTTCACTTTGCAAGCAATCCCTCCATGAGGGCAGTGGCAAAAGACAGACCCAAGTGACCCAAATTTGACATCAGACCACTTTGCTTCCTGGGCACTGCAATAAATTCTTCTATGGATGGCACAGTCAAGTTGGCTGGCACCAAATCTGCAACAAAGCCACAAAATAACTTAAAACAGCTACAGTGACAGCTACTCACCCTCCTGCAGCGGCAGCATGGAGGCACGTTCTTCCAAAACTATCAGGGGTGTCTATTTCAAAGCCTGCAGACAGCACGTGCTCATTACTAAACAAGGACACTATGCTATACTTTTGTCCTAGTTAAACCACAAGAAACATTGCAGAGACAGAAAAATCAGTTAGTTGGAAAAAACAGAACGCAAGCAACTACAGTCAGAAAGAGGTTGTCACGGGAACAGCAAGCGGCTGCTCCAGTTTGGCAGCTCTATAAAAAGAGCTGCAAAGTCAACGAGCATCTATTTCCACATCCAGCTCTGCGCCACATCCCTATTTAAAACAACGTGACAGGCATTTATGAGGCAGCTACCTATCAAGAGGACTGTGACAGCAGGACATGAAAACAGAAAACAAGAAGAAATGAGGAAAAACCACAGAGTCAGCCTGAGCATGAAATGGGGCCATTTTTATTGGATATGGTTTTCAGGTTGGAAAGAGGCTTCCAGGAGCACAGGGGCATATTCATCAAGATACACAAGGGCGAAGATATAAGCCTGGCAGTATTAATTCTAGTCACTCAGAGCTTTTTCTTTTCCTTCCTGACCTAGTCAAGGCCAGAGCATGCCAAGGTTTAATGTAATGGGGTATGTAATTGACATTTTTCACACTTTTTTAATATCCTACAGGACTTGACATTAGGGGAAAATGTAGCTGTAGGAGATTTTATGTAGTAAGTAATGAAGCAATTTTCTAGAAAAAGCTTATGCTTTGCCTTGTGATTTTTTAACTCATGGAAACTCTTGCCTGGAAAACAAGAATTTGGGATTTGGTACCTGATTATTGCCTCTTTTGAAACAGTTGCATCAGCAAACTCCTGCTTCTTCTTCGGGCTCTGGTGAGGATTCTGAGACTGCTCTCTCAATACTACTCTTTCACTCATTTCCTCTCTTGTGCCCACAGAGCTTTGGCCAGCCTAACTCCTTTAGTCTGTCCAGATTCAGAAACACACTTTAGCTGTATCTAAAATACATCATCATCGGTGAGGTGTAAATACCTGCGCCAGTGCAGGCCCCAAGGAGATAATTTCCTGAATTATTCCTTTGGGGGAAAAAAAAAAACAAAACAAAGCAGTATCTCACATTCCTACAGTTTGGAAAAGGGTCTCTGCTGAATGAATGTAAACTCTCTGAACCTGCCAGGAGAAAAGCGCTTTGGGTGAGAACAGTACAGGATGTGAGGAAGTACCAGCATGCCGTTAGGAAAGCCTTGCACACTCCCGTACACCACACCACACAGCCAAACACAGCAGCACAGGAAGTTTTTCATTTGAACAACTCACAACAATGAGTATAAAGGGGCTGTAAGCAGCAGAGACACATATTATTCAAGCTCCACAGAGACTGCGGGATTTACTTACCCGACGACAACAATTTCCTGCAGCAGTCTGAGTGAGCATTCAGCGCTGCTAAGTGTAAAGGGAACATGTTGTGGATCCCACACCTGAAAGGCACAACAGCCTCATTACAGAGAGTCATGTGAAAATGCAGGTTGCATACAGACACAACACACCAAAAGCTCCTTCCACAAAGGCAGCAATTTTATCCTTTTCGAGGAAGATTCTTCAAGCCATGTTATTTTTATCTATATTTCCTTACCAGCCTTCTCAGGAGTTAAAAATATTCTGATACAGCAAAATCTTGGCACTATACTTTGAACAGAATGTGGCAGGAAGGTTTCTAAAAATTCAAGGCGAAAGCCAAGGTAAGGGAGGAAGTGAGAGAGCAGATACTGCTTGGACGCAACGGGAACATGTGGGATGCACAAAATTCTGCATCAGCTACATATACTGCAACTGCTATTCTGAGGTAAAAGTAAATGCCGAAATCGTCTCAATATTATTTCTGAAACCCGTTTTTCCTACAGTTAACATTCTTTAGATAACTCTTATGTGGGTTTTCAAAGCCTCCCCTTCTTCCCTGTCTCTCTTCCCTGGGGTTGGGGTAGCTGACGACTCTTCATCACACTTTCCTTTAGGCTGCTGTGAGAGAGTTTTCTTCCCACACTGTAAGAACTAAACATCTAATTTTACTATTTGCTCCAGCTACTCTACTCATACTCCCTTTCACATTTCCTCCCCTTTAACACATGACCCTCTTTTCAATTACACTATAAGCTTCTCAGAGCAGATATGCTGGGTAAAAAAAAAAAAAAAAAAAAAAGGTAGGTAGGCACCTATCATTAGGCTAAACCTGTATCAGACAACCACATAGTTTTTAAACAAGGTGAGCACTCAGACACTTTTATTAATATGAGGAAAACATCCCAGTTCACTCCCTAAGCATGCCGCTGTTCACTCTCTTAGAAGACTTTTGGATTTGGACATCTTGGCTTCTGTCATTGAGCACTGTCTTGTGAAAAGCATCTTGTTATTCTAGAAATATCCTACTGGCAGTCCTCCAAGTGCACATAAACACAGAGGCTCTGAAACCAACTACCTCAACAAGATTATGATCTACTGCCTGCTCCAGCAGATATATTTTTGAAAAATGACAAACTCTTGAACAATAGCAGATGGATTCCTATCTGCCCTTCACTTCTGCAAGACAGTTGGTAGATGGGTAAGTGTGATCATCTCAGGGAAGAGGATTGCATATAGGGACCCAAAGACGAACAAACTTCTCTTTCTGCAAGACTCACCAGAAATCATAACTACTTATGAAGCTTTAGAAAAAAATGAACGTGGATGTTTATAGAGATAGTGTTCAAAATATGTGTAAACGTGGCACTTCAGGATATGGTTCAGTGGGCATGGTGGTGTTGGGTTGATGGTTGGATTTTATGATCTTAAAGGTCTTTTCCAACCTTAATGATTCTGTGATTCTGTGTGATCTTGCTCTCTCCAACATTTTATACATATATGTATTTAACTAATTTTGGTTTATTTTTAAAAAACTTATTCCTTCCTGAATCCACAGGCCCATCCTTCCTCTTCACATTAAATGTGTCCTCCTTGCTGCTTCACCACGCTAAGGAATGCCTTGTAGTACTGTATAAATTTTAATTTTGCTAGTGTCAGCATCTACATCTTAGAGTAAAACTATTGAAGATGATCTGACAGCCTATTCTTTGAAGGAAACAGCACAAGCTCCACCAAGCTGCTGCGTCTGTATAAGCAGTTTGCATTTTTTAGCTATGAATTCATTTATTTATGCTAACATTGAACATTTTGTACTACTGTGCTTCTTTCTACACACATTTCCCTCTATCTCTTCCTCCATCTAGTTACCTAAAGGAGTATTTTTCTTCTTTTAATTCAAGATTTCTGCCCAGCACACATTTTGGCCGATTTCCACTGAAATACACTATATCTGCACATCTGCTAACCAGTGTCACACTTCTATAGCACTGTTCACACTGGTTCCTCCCATCACTTACACAATTTCCCCTTCAAATGCAGTTGTCTCAAAGACCAACTGAGCTGTCTGCAGTTGTTGCAGAATTTTGTTTTCAAAGCCAGTTCAGGGAGCTCAGCCAGTTATTTACATGCAGCAC